CATGATGATGTACAGCACTATACTCAGTATTAGATGACATGCAGAAGACATCGGATTACTTCCCAAGTCTTTACAATATCATTAGAGAAAAAACATATGCAGAAGTAAAGCAATCATGCGTAAATGAACAATTTTAAATAACATCTAACAATTTTCTGGAATCATGGGGAAAGAAGTTGGGATGGTTTACATATGTTTAAGTTGCACATTCTAGTCCATTGTTTTATGAAGAAGTTATAAGAAAAAGTGAATTACCATGTGAATAGTAATGATTTGCATTTTAGTTAATAAGCAAATATTTTTTATAGATTACATACCGATCACAAGTTGCATTAATATTATGATTAATCTCTAATGGAGTTTTTTTAAATGAATGATAAAAATCACTTTGAATATATAGTTTTCATTAGGCTACTTCACATTATTGCCCTTTCCTCAGTGTAAGTCACATGTACACTTAACCCATTCCACTTTAAAATTGTACACTATATATTTTTAATTAATTAGTTTTCTTTTTATTTTTGCATAGTGCAGGGGGTGAGAGGATTCACCAGAGACAGGGTGGGGAGCAGAACATGGTGATTTACTGAAATATACTGCTGAGGGGAGCAGTGAGCAAGACAGGAGAGGTCTATTGTGCCATGTGGGTCACCTCCCTGGCAGAGATCGAACTCAGGCAGTAGCAGTGACAGTGCTAAGACCTAACCCCTAGGCCACCAGAAAGTCCCCTAAAATTGTACACTTTATCCTTATTTCTAGTAATTAAGATTTCCTGTTCTCTTTTAAATCCTGATAAATAACATTTTGTAAATAAATTATAATTTTCTTGTTTTTAATCAGTATTCTCAATCTATTTTCTCTGAAAACTTCTTGATGGATCAGACTTGATCACAAAATTAACCTTTTTATAAAGATTAATTCGTAGGATAGGTAGAGGTCATGGCCTTGTCACCATGCGTTGTTATTAAAATATATGTGTGTGTGTGTGTTGTGTATGTGTAAATCTCTTCTTCAAAGAGAAAAGATTACGCATCTCTTTAGAGAAAAGATTATGCATACCTGTAGTAAATTTTCCAGTGAAAGAGCCAGCATTAACTGAAGACTTTTTGTCAGTCCCTGTCCTTAGTATTTTATTTTCAGGATTTTATTGAGTGCTTATAGTAACCTTGTGAAGTAGTATTGTTATTTCCATTACAAGATGAAAAATAAATGAGGTTTAGTGATTATGAGGTCTGTCCTGACACCTCATTATTCACAAGCAATGCTGGTTGTCAGACCAGCCATTGCTATTAAATTCTGTGCCAAGCTAACTCCTTCAGTGAGATCTGGAGACTTTTCCTTTCTACTTATAGTACCTTAGTTGGTCCCCTCATCATTTTACATCAACTCCAAACTAGTCCTCTGTTACACAGTCTCATGATTTTGACATGTTAGCAAAGACACTTAGACTATCTGAAGCTTAAAGAGGTTAACAGACTTGCCTAAGGTCATACAACTAATACATAGATGGGATTTAGCTGCAACTTATTGCATGAGAGATACAATTATTAGTTAAAATCTTGGGAAACATATCAGTAGTAAAAGAATAAAACTTTTATACAGTCCAACATGAAAATATGGATTTTTGTAACTGCCCTAAAGGTCAATAGAAGCTAGTTTTATTAGAACCCAGGAGAAATGAAAAATCAAAAAATGCCACTCCTCCACAAATTTAGCCAGAGTCCAGAATTTTGAAGCTGAAAGAGACCCGCCCCGTTTGTGATGAGAGTATGGAGTCTACCTCAGTCTCTCTCTACTCTCTCTCTCTCTCTCTCTCTCTCTCTCTCTCTCACACACACACACACACACACACACACACTATTAAATTGATTCAGACCAAAAAAAAAAAAATCCATTAAAATAAGAAAATAGAGCCTCCCCTGGTGGCACAGTGGTTGAGAACTGGGTTGCGAAGCTGTCCACAGCCTCTGCAGCGCCGGTTCGATCCCCGGCCACCGGCAAGAGCCCCACATGGCGCAGCAGACCTCTCCTGCCGCCCGCTGCTCCCCTCAGCAGTGTACTTCGGTCCTTCTGCCTGCTCTGCTTTCTGCTCTGGCTCTGATGAATTCTCTCACCCTCCCACACTTCTGACTGTACCCAGTGCTTGTATAAATAAATAAATCTTTAAAAAAAAAAAAGACAGTAGGCATTTTTGCATACACTAGACTTTCTAATTTAAGGTTTATTTGTATGTGTGTGTGTGTGTTTGAGACTTTTTAAGCAATGTTTTATATAACTACTACTAGGAATGAAATATTTGTAAACTAAAGGCAAATATTGAACACCATGAGAAAAGGCGGTAATTAACACAAATTTTGAGACTCCAGAGAAATATGAATCCCCAAAGACAGTACAAAACCTTCAGCAAATGTTCTTCTTGAGCCAACTAAAAAATGGTTAAGCATATTGTAAAGTGTAGTATCTTGTAGAAAATACTGAATTAGTTATCTAAACTTCTCATAAATATAGATTAGATTGAGTAAAATGATTATTTACTTCATTAAAATCTTTGGATCTCTATGTTAATATTAACACAACAGACTATGGGTGGAGGACTTTGGGTGCCTTGAGCATGAGTGTGGTGTGGTAACCTACATCTGAAGAGGTGCAAACCTACACTCTGTAATAGATATAGTGTTGCTAACCAATGTTACCTCAATTAAAAAATATAACCCTTTAAAAGGAATGTTTTCTTCTTTTTTATGCTTTTTCCCCAAACATTTATTATTTTTACCTGCAATGGCACATGCATTTTTAATAGTACGATCATCTAAGACAAAGATCAGCAAGCTATAGTCCATAGGTCATATGTATCATGCTGCCTATTTTTGTACAACCCCCGAAGAATACCTTTTACACTTAAATGATAAAGAAAAGAAAATCAGAAGAAAATTATTTTCAGTTGTAAAAATTATATGAAATTCAAATTTTACTATCTGTACCTTGACAGTAGAAGTTTGTCAAAACTTGGTCTAAAACAATGACTTAGGTTTTTCAAAATTATATTCAACATGGAACATATCTTTCTCTCATTTCCCAAAACATGAACCTTTGACTTACTTTTTAATCAGTGTTCTCTCAGGACTATTCATTACATGAGTAAATTGGTCCATTTGGTCATCAAGATAATAAGCTATTTAGATACGAGAAATATTTTCTCCAGAGTAAAGCTTATAAACAGAAACTTCTGTTGTAGAGAAGATTCTAGAAATTTTGTTTTTAGAGAAAAAAGTTGCTTTTCCTCAGACTACATGTTATAACAGAAAGAATATTTATTTATACTTAAATTCCTGGATAGGATATTAACTCTATTTTAAACACTGAATGGGGATAATTATACTAGCTATGTCATAGGTTTGGTGTGAGTATAAATGTAAACATAAGTCAAATTTTGAGGATACTAGTCTAGCTTGTAAGGGTCAATGAATTGTAATCTTCCTTCTCTAAAATTAAACCTATAAAATTATTCCTATGTAACAGCTCCCACAAATTACCATCAGAGTGAGCGGTCAGATTTTGCATTGTTTTTATATGTTTCAAGCATTTATTCCTGGTTTGTAGTTTATAAATCCAGTCTCTACATCTGCTCTCTCCTTAAGGGCACCATTTTTCATCATAAGCACAGCCATATAGTTGTCTACCTCCTACACTTCCTCATAAGTACCATGCATTTCATGTTTATTGCAGTGTGTTTAATTTGCATTATTTTGGGTCTCACATCATGACTTCAGAAATTTCAGGTTAATAAACACTATAAAAATTATTTCCCCATTTATTCTAGCATTATAAGGGCAATTATATCTAAGCAGTGTGACACCATTGTGAATCTGTATGTATGACCAGGAATACATTGGCAGATGGCACCACAAGGACTTCATTATTGCAGCTTACTGTAGCATTTTCAGAAATTTTAAATTGAAATTCTCAGCTGAAAGGGTACCACAAGTTTAAAGAAAGGACCTTTAAAATGAAGTAACTTGCAAAAGCTTTCATGAATTAGTAAATTAATTCTATCTTTCTTTTAGACCTTCAAGGAATTTGCCTGCTTTGTTCTATCAAGATGGGTATAACATTCTTGCCTGGAAAGGGAGACTTGCCTAGCTCTGAGTTTCTAATACTGACACTCTTGCTCCTGCATTTTCTTTTGCATGTTAGGCAGCGAGCATGTTAACAAACTGGAGGACTTTGCAGTGGATAGTTTTATTGAATCTGTCTCAGATTGATGCATTTATTTACATTATCTAGAAACATAACAGAAAGTAAAATACTTTCCCTAATTAGAATAGTATTTCAAATCATATAAAATAAAACTCTTGAATACAGAATCACACGCATGTATAGAAATGTATTACGAGTTTCTGGATTAGCTTGTAACATAAAATTTCAAATTATGGAATAACTCTTGTTATTTCTTTCCCATCTGTTTCCTCTGATTCCATACTGTAGCTCCCACACCAGTTAATGAGCAACAGGCCATCATAATTATTATAAATAATATTTAGGAACATTGGCTCTAAGATAGGGTATGAGCTATTGGCTATGTGTGCATAATCTTCAACTAATAGACTTTATTACCTATATTAGCAGCACAAATGACATTTTTTTAAATTTTAAACTGAATCTCAGAATCCTGAATTCCTAAATAATTTACCCCCAATAAAATATGTGTGTTGAGATATGTACAAATGAAACAAAGATTGTGACTCAGAGGACAAAATCAATAGACTTCATGAACTTTAGCGGTGACTCAGTTGGGAGACATGATTTATCACTGTGTCCAGAAGTTCTCAATTATGATATTACAAACAAGAGGTATACCTTGTTCAGATCTTTAAACTGCAAGTGATTTATTACTAATGAGCATTAAACATCAGAAGTTTGTAAAGTGTTCAAATTAATTGGAATGCAAAAAAAGAGACAGTGTTGGTATTCATGGAAAAAACATGTAATCTGTGACTTACCGTATTGATGCCGTATCCCTTTAGAAGCAGTTGTTACAGATATACTGCTGATGGCTATTGTACACTAGATAAATGACTTTGCATCCTCTGTCATTTGTTGGTATTTCTGTAAAATAATGAGATACTGTCAAAATGTGGTTAACCCAAGATGGAGTTATAGAGACAAATGTTTTCTATCAAAAAATGTAAAGTTGCTGTAGTCAAATTTGTAAGAAGATACATGTTGTTGTTTACATTTTACAAGTTAATACTAGATTCTCTGTAAACATTTCAAATATAAGGTAATATTTGTAGATGTGACCCAATAAAATAATTGTTCTGATGTTAAAAATAATGCTTCTAGGGTTAATAATAGGTAAATAAAACACTTATAACACTTAAATATAAATCAGTTATCCAGTTATCAAATAGTAATTGAGCATTGTTCAGTTACCAAATACTGGACTACAAGGGTGAATAAGGAAAATGGGTTTGTCCTCAAGGAGCTCACTTACTATCATGGAAAACAAAGAAAAAATTTCATTGCTTTTTAAATATAGTCTAGTCGTCAGTAATGCTATTCATAAGCATTCCAGTTCTCCTTCCAAGTTTAGAGTAGAATGACACCCCCATTTTTTTTAGATTAGGTGTTACCATTTGAATTAAATAGTAAGCAGAGTGTTGCTCCACCGTAGAAAATGTCAGCCAGAGTTGATTCATCAAAAACTCCCCTTTCACTGTCATGTTGAGCACTGAAAAATGTGTTACCCAGACAACCTCAGTCTAAGTCACAAAGTCACCATAATGAACTGATCTTTGGGTGATCTGCACCAGATATGCACTGCAAGCAAGAAGTACTTTTTGTTGTGTTAAACCACTGAGACTTCGGAGGTCTTTGCCACTGCAGTGCAACCAACCCCATCTCAAGTGAGATTGTTGTTATGCACAAAGTGTCAAGAAGGCACAAAGAAGGAAGTTTTGGGAATACTGTTCCAGCTCGAAAGAAATAGGATCAAATGAGTAATCATTAGGTTTCTCCAGTGTTGTGGCCTGACAGGAGAGCTGAAAGGGACACTGTCCAGATTGGCAGAGGCTCTTACCCCTCCTTCTCTACTTACATGTCATTTTATCAACTCCCACAATCTGAGAAATAGGGTCACCTCAGGAGCTCAGCATCAGTGATTTTGCAGCAAATGTCTTTGGTTGCTTAGGGATAAGGATCTATAACCCACACAAGTGTCTTCCTTTCAACTGAATCAAGGATAAAATTTGCAGGTGAAGTCAGTGTTTCACAAATATAACTGGTGAATACAATGGTCCAAGTAATCTACTTTAAAAGTTGAACTTTTTAAGTGACCCAGAACACTAGGAAAATGCAAGCTAAATCATAAGGTTATAAGTTAAAAAACATAAATATTTTACCTTACCAGAACTGTAAGTCTTAATCCGAGAAAGGATAAATGTACATAGATTTTGTTGACTTTTAGAAATATAAAATAAATGGTGTATTGTCTAGCACATAAATATACGTAGAACCCACATTTTTATCTTTAATTTTTACAAAATATATCTATGATATTGTCATGTAAGTTACTTTTTTGTTCTTAATATGTCATTAAGAATATCTTTAAAATTCATATTTTCAGGCTTCTACAGGCTCTTAGTGAATATAGCTGGAAGAAGAACCCAGGAATATTTTTATCTAAAAAGCTATAAACATAATTCCTATGGTCAGTCATATTGGAAATTCTTCAGAGGGTGACCTGTAAGGACCCTTTAAGCTCCAAGAGTTCTTGATTCTAAGATATACCCACAAAAACTCTAAGATTGTGACATTGTCATCAGTTCTTCAAATAATCACCATCTATTTAATCTTGACATTTAATTTGGTTCTTGGGCCTTTTCCCAGCATCTTTTCTTTCTCTTGAAGTTACAGAAACATTGGTATAGGTTATACAAAAGACTTGTATAAATGAATTTTTAGTAGAATATTTTCTAGAAGCATGCCCCAAAATGTCAAATATGCTCATACTAGAAAAATTGCTATCCATGATGTACTTAAAATTTCAGCTGGAAATATTCATCTAACAGTTCTTGAGAGCAGGGCTCAACTGTGTTGGATTCAACTAGCAACATTGATTTTTCATGTTCTTCTCCCTACAGTTGAAAAGAATCAAGTTAAATCTGTAGGGAATGAAAACTAAACAGCCGTTAGCATGAAGGTCCATGTCCTGTTGCATTTATCTCGTAGGTTAAAATCATTCATTGATCGCTAATCACCTGTGGTTGTTTACACACAACAGGTTCCCTGGATAGCACAAAACCACAAGGAGGATTATACATACCACAGGAAGCAATCAATAGAAAAGGCTCATAATGATGTTCCTGAGAGGAAACTGAAAGATTTTCCCATTGTGACAGTGTGTATATGTGTGGTAGGATTGTCAAAACAGACATAAGGGTTTCCAGCTGGCAGAAAAATGTTTTTAACATTTGGCTTTCATATCCACTTTTCTTGTCTCACTTTAATGATATAAAAAAAATGGGGAAAAAAATCTGTTTACGAATATTTTAATAATTCTATTCTAGCTTTGCATTTTTACCCAAATAATTATGAAATGTGCCATTTGTTACCCTTAGAATATTATTGAATTGTTTTTTGTTTTGTTTTTTGCCTTGCTAATGCCTAAAGCATCCAAAATCTTTTTATCTAAAAAATGTTGGATATCATAGGGTTCTCAAAAGTGGTTCAGTGCATCTTCCATTCATAAATGATAGCTTGATCTTAAACATAAACCACTGTGAAACTTATGCATTAAGCACTGCCAGATGAACAGAAAGTAAAGCCACAAATGAATTAAAACCCACCTTCAACTATTTAATATCTAATATATCTTATAGACTCTGGCCTATAGTATGCGTTACACCTACTTCCCATTGGAGGAAAAATTAATTAAATTAATATGAGTTTGTTTTTTTTAGAGTTTTGTCCTGAACTTTCAGCATTTTTGTAAAATTACAGATTTGACATGCTCTTTCTGAAAAGCCTATCTGAACCTACTGAATTTCAAAACAGAGCCTTCTCTCCAAGTTCCAACAAGGATGAAGGAGATGCAACCATCTGAGAAAGTTGCACACAGAGTGGAGAATATCTCATCTGAAGACCCTTGAGGTCTTCTAGTAACTATAGTCTATTATTTCCTGATTTCATAAAGCAGACTTATAATTCTCCCCAGATGATATTTGATAGTGACATAATTTTCATAAACAGTTTAAGACAATTGAATCTCTCTGTGCACATGTCAACCAAGTGTCTTGAAATTAGCCAACTGCATATTACTATGCATTTATAATAACAAATTTTACCTTATACTATGTAATATGAATATAAATTACTGCAATGGTTACCATTTACCTTCACTTTTTCTGAAACTTCACAACTCATACCATTTTAATTATATCAAAATTTAAATTTGGAAATGTTATTCTTGGTGTAGTTTGGTAAAAGGAATTTTCAGGAACTTTCAGAGATTAATTATGTGGAAAAACAGTGTACCATCCTAATTGTGTAAATATGAGTAGACTCTGAGAGTGGATGTCAATATCTGCATGCCAGATAGTTTTGCATGCTGCTCCATTTATGTGAAGATCACAGTATGGAATCATAATTTGCTCCCCAAACAACCCAGGCCTTCCAGAACACTGCCTGAAATTAAATCTTCTCCTTGTGCATGGCTTATAAAAAATTGAATGGCAGTTCATTTTCACAACACATGACAAACATAAAAGAAATTATGAATTAATTTTAAACCCTGCTTAGCAGTCTTATCAAATTGATGGCACCCTTTGTCTCACTGAAGTCAGTGATATGCTTAATTAGAATCCAGGCATCTCTACATGTTTTTGAGTGACAGCTCAGATCATCCTCACGAACCTCCCCAACCCCCAGGTTTTAAAGCCTAAAACAAAACAATTGGCTTAAAAGGTTGACTGGATGTGACTTTCACTTCATGTACTACATTAAGCACATCAAATGTATTATGCTGGTTGTTCAAAAAAAAAAACAAAACAAAGACTTGAGGGCTTGTTTGGATGGATGAATGAATAGAGATAGATGAGAGAGAGAGAGAGAGATTTACATGCATGTATGCATCCTTATCGCAAACAGTTTTCCTTCAAGGGAAAATAAGATGGAGGTAGAACTAACTGTCTTTCTTTAGTCATCTTGGGATTATTCAGTAACTAATTATGTATTTGAGTAATTATTTAGACATTTCCTCTCCCGTTTTGGCATTTCACTGTTCATTAGCCACCATCTTCAGTTTCTAACTGACACCATGCCAGGAATACACACGCATCATCCATCCTAAAGCCATCCTACCTGTGAACAACAAACATGCAGAGAAATTGTAAGGCACTGACTCTGTTTCCAGTCAGATACTAACACTGACAGAGAGACCTGCCTCACTCTTGCACACTTCTGGAACTTTGATGCTCCTTTATACGCTACCAAGTATGTCTTCAATTTGAAGGATTGTCCCAGGATCTTTGCATGAAAAAAATAACATGGTTGGGAATATTGGGGGAAGTATATATCTCTATATATGTTTACAAACATATGTAAAATTATGTAATCATGAATTATATGATTATTCACAATCTATATTATATATATGAAAATATGTATTTAGTTAAATGAAGCAGCATTGATTTTATATTTTGTTTTTTGTTATATTGATTTTTACTTATTTTTTTTAATTTTCTTACATTGTTCATTTTCATACAATATTTGATATCATCCTTCAGGTGTATCTCCCATAAATCTCCCACCACGACATCACCCAGGTCTATAGTTTCTTTGCAGGTTTTGTCTTTTTTTTTAACCCTCTATTTGGTTTACCTATATTCCTCCTATAAGTGAAACCATTCTATATTTTTCTCTTTTCCTTCTGACTGATTTTACTGTGCATAATCCCTTACAGCTCCACCTATGTTGGTGTGAAGAGCATGAGTGTATCTTTTTTGATTGTGGAATAGTATTCCACTGTCTATATATACCACATTTTCTTCATCTTTTTATCTTCTTTGGGGCATTTAGGTTGTTTCCATATCTTAGCTATAAATAGTGCTACAGTGAACACAGGAGTGCAGGTTTCCTTTCCAAATAGTGGTTTTGTGCTCTTTGAGTAGATTCCTAGGAGAGGAATCACTGGGTCATATGGTAGATCCATTTGTAGTAATTTTGAGGAACCTGCACACAGCTTTCCATAGTGGTTGCACCGTTTGCATTCCACCAGCAGCACTGACTATGTATTTGCTAGCTTGTAATGACTGTTCCACTGTTTGAAAGCCAAAAAGTTCTAGTCTCTGAAGAGACGAGATCTATGGTCAGTAATGTTTAGAGTCACATCTGCTTAATTAGCATATAAAAGTTACCTCGGAAAGAGAAATCACCTCTAATGACTTTGATTTGAAGCAGGATTAAACAATGTAAACCCAAAGTGTATTATTACTCGATAGGAACCAGCTTCGTAGTTATTACAGCACAAGGGGGAGTTACCACAGGTTGATTCATGTAATTGTGATGTCATCCAGATATCACTGTGTTTCCAGCATATCTTTGTTTCAGGACAGCTTTGGCAATTACTGAAAGTGTGAAAAGAGCTTTATAGTTCAAGGTTTAGTTTCATGGTTTTCTTTTCAACTTGGAGGGAAAAACTGTTTT